TGTCACCACGTAATACCAAATCGTGCGTTGCCATTCCCGAGAAGCAAAATGTCGTGTGATGAAACTTAGTGTAATTTCATTGCTGTACATCATTTCACTCTTCAACCGATCGGTAAAAGTTAATGTAATATTCTAATTAGGTATCACAGGCCAGGAGTATCTACAACACCAGCGAAGTTTAGATATCTTCAAGGTCCTCCAGAGTTCGTAACTTCATCATCTAAGTCCTTAACCAAAATGGTAAAAGTTGAATGTGACCTATTTTAATTAGGTATAAGGCCTTACAGGATTTCGTAACTTCATCATCTAAGTCCTTAACCAAAATGGTAAAAGTTGAATGTAATGTAATAATTAGGTATCACAGAACAGAATTATCTACAACACCAATAGTATTTTAGATCTCTCTCTGTGATCCCGGCCTTTCAGGGTCTAGTATATATTGAGAAATACAAGTGCTGATAATTAATGTACGAAATTTAAATATTAATATAAAATTATTTAATGAAATATTAAAATAATTATAATATAATTATCAATATTAGGATACCCTTACGGGGTGTTGCACGTATGCAACACCCCACCTTTTATTATATAATAAGATCCAAAACTGTACCATGTTGCAAGTATATATAGTAATAATAATAAATTTATTATAATAATAAGTATTTATTATAAATTATTATTATTATGTCAATGAATTATAATAAAGCATTGACTTCTAGTTTTTTCTCCCATAATTTTCCTGGGATTTCACGAGTTACGTAGTAGGCATACGGATTTGCGGTCATCCCACTGTGATAGTGGTTTTCCTTAAAACCACTTTATCTGCACCAAAAGCATAATGGAATCACAGTGACGTCACATTATTTATTACGTCACAATTAAAATCGTGTCGTTAGATTACACTTGGTACTATACTCTTCAGATTGAGGATATTTACTATAAGTACCTACCTATACTTACCTACATCTTTCTTTCTTTCTTACATCTATCTATACATATAAATAAAATTGGAGTGTTTGTCTGTAATATTGAAATAACCGTTTTTTACTACATGGATATGAATATAAATACGGTACAAACACCAAAATAACATTTTTTACAAGTTTTGTCTGTCTGTCTGTCTGTTTGTTCCGGCTAATCTCTAAAATGGCTGGACCGATTTTGACGGGACTTTTTTTGGCAGGTAACTGATGTAAAATGGAGTAAATTAGGCTACTTTTATTTTAGAAAAATAAAGTAATTCCACGCGGACGAAGTCGCGAGTACAGCTAGATGATAATATAGGTATAGAATAAAAAATAAAAAATTATACATGCCATGACATTACTAACTGAAATTAAGTCAACACTATATCTGAACTTCTTGCAAGTGATTATAACTGTGTTAAAATAATCTAAATATATATAACTTAAAGATGACTGACGTAGTGATCTATCAACGCACAGCCCAAACCACTGGACGGATCGGGCTGAAATTTGGCATGTAGGTAGATGTTATGACGTAGGCATCCGCTAAGAAAGGATTTTGATTAATTCTACCCCCAAAGGGATAAAATAGGGGATGAAAGTTTATATGAAACTTTGTCAATTTTAAACCGACCGGGCTGAGACTTTGCATGCATAAAGCTACTATGACGTAGACATCCCGTAAGAAAGGATTTTGATACATTCCACCCCTAAAGGGATAGTTAAAGCTAGTCTTTAAATATAAGTAGAGGATATGTTGTAAATCGCTCAAATTAATAAAATAAGTTTTAATAATTCATCGTCATATAATATTTTAGCAATGGTCATTAAAGAAGATTATTGTGGAACGAAAATTAAAAGGACTTAATACAATTTTAATGTAAGTATACATACATAAGTAATAAATGAACATAATCTTATTAACAAACTGCGCTGCAGCTCGGAAGTTATAGTACATTCAAGAATAAATTGTACTTATGTTAATTAAATAAATAAATAGTTATAAATGACGGCCTCGGTGATTTAGCGGTTTAACACGCCGCCTGATTTCCGATGGTCGCGGATTCGATTCCTCCCACAAACATTTGTATTAATGAATATGATTGTTTGTATCGGTCTGGGTTTTTTCTATGTATAATATGCAGATATGTATTTACGAAAAAAATGTGTATTTGTATCAGTCATCTAGTACCAATAACAAAAGTTTGGCTAGGTTAACTTGGGTCTAGATGGCGTTTTGTCAATTGTCCTGAGATGATTGTTATTATTAAATAAATAATTGTTTCCAAGCGTTAGTGTGATAGTAATAACAGTTTTTTGTAATTTATTCGTTGGAAGAGAATCTGATGAATATGTTACATTCCTCCCTTACCTTGACAACGTATACTGGGTACACCAAGGAGATTGAATATGAAACTTCCTTATTACTCTTTTTAATAATTATAATTAAGGTTTTGTCTAAATATAAACCATGAAGTATGGAAGTCATGACGTTTTAACATACAATTATTATAATTACTCGTTACTTCGTCTGTTTTTTTTTAATAAACAACAGACTATGCTGTCCTAATACAGTCCTCATATCAAATATATGACCTTTTAGTCATAAAAGACTAACAAATGGATTTCCAAACTTATAGGTTTATATATAACTACTCGCCCCGGCTTCCCACGGGTGTACATGTATTATATATATAAACCATCCTCTTGAATCACTCTATCTATTAAAAAACCGCTTCAAAATCCGTTGCGTAGTTGTAAAGATTTAAGCATAGAGACGGACAGACAGCGAGAGCGACTTTGTTTTATACTATGTAGTGATAAGTATTAGGGTGTTTCAAAGTTACTGATCTTTGTAATTAATATGAACATTATTAATACTAGAAACTGAAGATTAGTTGGTGTGACTAAATTACTTAACTAATAAGTACAAGGTACCTACCTACACACATGCACATTTATAACATTAGAACGGATAAAGTAAAGTAAAATCCCCCGCCGTCTCTGTCTGTATGTTTAGTGTATTCCTCAAAAACTACTGAAAGCATTTTCATGCTACTTCATACATCAATAGACACATTTCTGGAGAACGTTTAGGTGTATAATTCGTTAAGATTACGCGTAAATTGATTGAAATACTAACGAAACCAGGGTCGCTAGTACAATTGCATGTAATATATATTTTTAATACTATAATAATTAAAATTCTATAGTTATAGAGATAACAATTTATTTCTATTATTATCGACAAATAATATTTTTACTCTTATGACTGATGTTACTGTGCTTATAAGTACCTACTTACTTATTATCTATTCATTGTAACGAAATTTAAGATATTAATATAGTTGTTTAATTTTCTAAGCTAAGTCTGCATTCCAAATGTCGCAATGTAGTAATACAAACTGACTATTCATAAGTGCATATAATAAGTTATTTGAATAAGTTTATTTATAATATAAACATTCGTCAAACGGCTTTGGTTTCACGTTGGTTTTATTATTATATGGAAAAATATATTACATAAAAGAGAAAACTACAACTACCTACACTGTGCAAAATTTTTAACATTATGATCACGCGCCTTTAACTTAATGCTTAATACGTCACCATTTCTGTATATTTAAAAATATTAATTTGTTCGAAGTTAATATGATTCAATTATATAAGTATTTGTTGTTTTTTTTTGTAGATATTTCCAGGGCCGTAAAATACTTAATAAAAAAAACTGATTATTATTTAGAAAAGGCAAAAGAAACTGTGCCCATACAGCCATGTCTGTTTTTGTTTTTTTATATTCTTAAATTGTTTATTACTTCATTTTATATGTCTAAATTGTTGATTTTATATAATTGTAGAGTGCAGAAAAATATTTTCGAATTTCTAAATAGGACCTGTAGAGAGTGCAGGATATGCTCATCACTATAATAGATATAAAATAGTATTCTTATTAGAAGAATAGTATGCAAAAAAAAGTTTTGACGCTTAAAAAATGTGTTTCAATTATTAAGCAATTATTTATGTTAGTTATAAATTAATGAATATAATATATAGGAAGGTGTTACATATGAATGTGGACATATGAATGTGTGAATCGTAAGGCCGAAAAAGGATTAACTGTTTGAAAGATGATATAGTAAGAAAGGGAGTATAAAGAGATGACTGCGAACAGAGATGAATGGAGGAGACAAATATATTCCTCCGACCTCAAATAAATGGGATAAGGAAGAAGCCGATGATGATGACCTCCTAATAAGGTATAAATATTAATCTTAATCTTAATAATATTATAAACGCGACAGTTTGTGAGTATGGACGGATGTTTGTCACGCAAAAGCTACTCAATGGATTTTTATGAAGCTTATACATCGGAATAAGATATAGGCTATAAATTTCACACGAGTGAGTGCGCGGGCACAGCTAGTAATAAATAAACCTGAATATTCTACTGAATGTTGTATCCTACCTAGTTTAAAGGCAATTCTAAATGTTAGTAGGTACCTAATTCTCTCTAAGTTTATTGAACCGTGGCACCGAGCTCTTCCGTTGTAATATTGTAATAAGGGTGAACAGGTCAACGAATGAAAACTTTTATTTTACAACATGCAAATTGTATGTTTTTTCTTCCATTTTTTAACAATATTTATATTAATCATTCTCTATTATAATTTTTAAGTAATTATTATAATATTAAAAGCATTTGTTGTGTTGTTGTAATAATAATAATTGTGTTGTATTATGTTAAGAATTTCGAAAACGTGTATATCTTAGATAAAATATAGTATATTTCTAAAATATGTAACATTAAATTACTTACATATAATTTTTAAATCTCAGAGAAAGACAGAAAAGTATAACTTAATTTTAGTTTTTTATCTTTCTCTGAGCTCGGAATATATATGTATATCTGATGGGACATATACCTAATAAAACTTTAATTATGATTTATTTATATATATAAACAACTTAATTCATTATTTTAATTTTTTTTTTATTAAATTAGTGTTAATGATAATTAAAATAAATACTCACCTTCCCCTAACAGAGTGGATATAAATTAAACTTATGTCAAATCAACGATCGTTCTTAAACACTAATCACTTAACCGTATAATTAAACACAATTTATTTTTCCAAGTACATCCGTAGGTGAGCGAGTACTCTAAACTTTAACCTTAGGTAACTTGTCACATAAACGATTTATATGCACATTATAAACACCAGTTTTAATTGCACAGCACTGCACAACAGTACAAAGTTTACAGAATATTTTATAATGATTTATATAGTTTACAATAACATATAAATCTTCGAAATATTAAAAACATTCGATAAAAGTTCGTAGTGTAAAGTTGGGGCGCAGACAGTATACACACGCGGTTTAACACGACGACTGGCGGCGTACGCGCAATCAACTCCAGACTGGCCTGAACGCAGGGCTCTCCAACTGTTTCATGTTGCACTTACATTAAACACGAGGAATAAGCTGTGTCATTTACACATATCTTAACATTGAAATGATATTAGCCATTGAAACTTATAATTTTATTTTAAGTGTAATTAAATATGATATAGTATTATATATAGTATTTAGTAGTAATATATAGTATTTCATATATTTATTAAGACTAAGTCTGGACGTTGATCACAATATCATATCAAATATAATACGAAGTATCGTCATAATTTAAGTTGATATCCCATTTTTGTCGATATTTAATATTATAATTATTATTTTTATTTTTATTCTACTATAAATTATGAGAATAAGAAGGATAAAATAAGTATGAAAATTTTATAGAATATATTAAAATATATAAGATGTAGTTGTATATTTATTTTATATGTAGAATAATAGCAGTTCATAATATGACACATCATACACGAATTATTAGCAAAAACCGTAAAAAATAAAGTCAAGATTTTTAACAGAGTTCATTTTATATTCCCTAAATGGTAGTACCAACACCAATCAATAACGTACTTTTACAATTTTATATCAATATAATTTAAGATAAGTTGCCAATTGAAAACTAGTTTGGACCTATTATAATCTAAACTACGGAATAATTAATCTATATTTAAAATATAAACAGCAAAAACCGTTCAGCTGCGGTGAATAAATAATTGCATGAATATATAAAACTTAATATGACAAATAAATTACCAGCCAAATGTTGTTAACTTCTGAGAAAACCTGTTAAGTCAACCAATGTATGCGCCAATAGCTTACTGAGGTTCGTATAAAATATACCCGTCTTGCTCACACATTAACGACTCTTATGACATTAGAGAAGGACATATTTATTGTTACAGGTGATTTCACATGTAACTTCGTTTACCCGTTTTTAAATCTGAAGGTGTTAAGTAAACTGAGCTGCTGTTATTGAAATTTAAACTTTATACCTTGTACAGACAAATTATAAATTTGAACATACTTATCTCAGCTTTTTCAGTATTTAGTAAACAGATAATAGAAAATATGTAAATTACCAAAAAATTACCCTAGCAACACGAAGCTATAGAAACGTTTTTTCACAAGCGCAATGATTTAGAATAAATTATTTTACTTTAATAATAATATTACAGATATTGAAGATAATTTTTGCGTGGGATGCGCAAGCGCAGCTGGACAGTGGACACGTTTCATTAGCTGAGAGACTGCATCTCCTCGCTTCATCCTGCTCCCGCACAGTGGTCGGCAGCATGTTGGAATGGGACAACATCATGTTTACATTATGGACCGAAACGTAGACGTGGCTTTATTGGGATCTTCCCTAAGCTGATCGGCTAATTTTCGTAGGTAGGAGGAAATTGTCAGTTACACAGTTTTACATAGCGGCCGTTTTTAGATTATTTATTGGGCGGAGGTACATAATCATTAATGGCCAAGTCACCGTTTTCAATTACTTTTAGTATGTAATAATATATTATCTGTGCTTTTAGTATCATGTCCACTTTAAAATATGAATGTAATTGAATATACTAAACAAATTATATATTTCAGATACAGACGATGATTTTATTTATTCATTTCAAAAGAATTTGAATTGAATTTCTTTTACTGGTAGACTACAAACGTAAAAGTTACAATAAATAGAAGATAGAATATAGAAGACCGAAGAGCTGGCAGCTACCTTGGACAAAGAATTAGTCTAGCTATTCAAAGAGGGAACGCTGCCAGTATCTTCGGAAAGCCTAAAGGGACCACTTTTAATAATATATTTTAGTTATCATATTCTATTTTTTTTTTTTAAGCTTTTTATTTTAGTTCTTAGTTGTACAATTAGGTTATGTAAATACTAGTTATATAATAATATGTATAGTAATTTATGTATAACATACAGCAAAGAAAAGGCATAAACAATATTTTAAAGAACACTTGTATAGTTACAATAAAGCGGTCTTATTGTTAAAAGGAATCTTTACAAGGCAACCTTATATTAGGGAAACGCAAAAAAGTAATTAACTTACTTATTTTTTGTTGTTTCTTTAAATATAATTGAAATGTTAAAGATGGCGACTCACCTGATGGTAAGTGGTGGTTACCACTGCTGTTGTTACATCATTATATCTAATATTGATGTAACAACAGCAGTACAGGTACCACGATGTTATGTGACACCCGTATTACCATTGATTGACATTTTACGTGTTGACTTAGATGCCTCTTATCCGGTAATTGCGCAATCTTTAATTACCAGTAGGTCAAACAACTATGATAGTTAGACGCACGTGTTAATTGCACCCATTTTCAAATGTTCTGTTTTTGGAATTTTGTTATACCTATAGGATAACATAAAATTGTAATATTAAAAAAATAATACTTAATAATAATAATAATCTTTACGTGTCTCAAACAAAACCTTTCACACAATACAACTGTTGCCCATACAATAATATAATTTAAAACTAATGATTGAGACAAAGACCGTTTTGTCTGTCATAACTCAGTGAGGGCAGTGAGTCCACCCTCTCTGGTATTCTGGTATAGCCTTTATCAGTTAAGTTAAATAGTGGATATATATACATATTAAACTAGCTGTCACGGCAAACGTTGTTTTGCCTTAAAATAAAAAAAAAATTTGGGGTGGACTACCCCTAACATTTAGGGGGATGAAAAATAGATGTTGGCTGATTCTCAGACCTACTCAATACGCTCACAAAATTTCATGAGAATCGGTCAAGCCGTTTCGAAGGAGTATGGGAACGAAAACTGTGAAACGAGAATTTTATATATAAGATTAATATAGCAATGGTGCCCTCGAATTAAACAAAAATATTTAAAATACATATTTACAAAAGATTGAATAGTAACTGGTATTTATTAATAAACTAGTCCAATAAATACAAAATTACTTAATTTTATATTGTTTTATAGTGACAGCATACACGACTTTTAAAAGTGACTTAATCTATGCGTTGACAGCCGTTAAATGATGACTATGGCACTCTTCATTTATTGCCAGTTGCCAGGTCGATACTTATTTACCATTGCTCCCTTCCGATCCCGTCCCCTCCGTTCGATCCTCCGTCTAATTCAAACAGGAATCGAAGTTACGACGGCCTGAACCGAGGTTCGAACACCTAGCGGTACCCTCAGACTAAAGTCGTATCCGTCAGGCGGGAGTTGGCCTTCAGTCGCTCTTTAAGTCCTTCAGTGGGTTTGGAGTGCCATCTACACTCGCCCTCTATCGTCCGGTGACGCTGTAAAGGCTGCGGCCAACAGCATTTAGAGTAGGTAGTCCGAAAAAAATACATTATGTTACGGTGCAGCGAAATAAAACAGGTAAATTCTAAACTTTTCTTTTTAAAATATGTATAAATAATAATATCCCAGGAGAATATACATAGCGTTCAAACTTTGCGATAATATACCTTATAAGTACATCAAAATAACCCACAGTCCATAATTTTTAAAAAATATTTATTTACTCTTTATTACACTATTTAAAATACATGTACAATCTACCTGCTAACCATTGGGTAAAAACAGAAAGCGATTGAAGGGCAGTAATGGGAAAAAGCATTGTTTAGGTATTTACGTAACTTAGGTAAATGTATCAATACTAATTAATATACTTAGTAGTAGTATATATATTACGTAGTATAGTACATAACAATAATATATACTTACTTAAATAGTTACAATACATATATTATATAAAAATATTTTTTAATTTAGGCGAAATATTTAGAAGGATACCTAAGCGTGATGCAGACGAAGTTGCGCGGGTCAGCTAGTACATAATAAAAAATATATAAATATGGTAAGTATATATATCATTTCTTTTATTTACTTATCATTTATGTATCTATATATAGATATGAATAGGGAAAGTTATTATTGACAGTAGGTATGATCTAAACATTCGCGTTGTTGTCGTCCTCAGCCATTACTGGTGATTTTCCACTTTCCCGCCCGCCGAAACATGCGTGTGCGCATTTGTGCACACTGTACACACGCATGACATACTGGCGCGCATCTAAAGCGCGACTATTTTTCCAAAATAGCTTTTAATGACTTCAATATTTTATACAACTGAAAAGTTAAGAGCTGCTTAATGTATAATTTTTCGTCAAATTAAAACAAACATTACAGATTAGTATCAATAACGTTACTTTAAACTCGAATCTTGACTCTTTTCTGAAGGAATGAGTTAGCCTTCAACCACACTTATAAGTCACTTTCACGGGTTTGATTTTTTCAATATTTCCTTTCATTCCAACATTCTTTTACCCATATGCTGTAATATTTAACAACAAATTCTGTAAAAGGAATATAGTAATTCCTCCAGTCATGTACATGACTGTGCATATCAAACAATAACACACAACCAGATGCTTTTCACATCGACATTTTATTAAGATATTTTATATATAAAGATAATAAAGATCAGTTGACAGAAGGAATGCCTCAGTATGTCGTTCGGGTGTGCATTTTGTGAATGTTGGAGTTTGCGGTGCGAAGGAGCGGTAGTGCGGCGTCAGCGCCCTGCCGATGCAATCAAGATGCTATCTGGGGCGTATACCTCTACTCATTTCGCACTCGCCACCACTCACTCGAATATGAGCTACGTTTTGTTTTTTTTTTCTGTTTGTTCAGAAACTGCAAATAGAAATCTATTAAAAGACAATTCTGAAAGTATACAGACCTAAATTATACTTATTTTTAACTCTCATGTTTATGTATACATCTAATATATAAAATTCTCGTGTCGCGGTGTTTGTTGCCAAACTCCTACGAAACGGCTTTACCGATTAGTATGAAAGTATGTGTGCATATTGGATAGGTCTGAGAATCGGCCAAAATCTAGTTTTCATATCCCTCAATGATAAAATTAACCGAGTCTTAAATATTTTTATTTTTTTGTCAAATTT